CAGAGTCTAGGCTTCCAGGGATCCCTTCGCCAAGTCCATTGTTTCACTGACATGTAAAGTGACCAGGGCCTTTGTGTTGTCTGACCCCAGGCACCGCAGGCCTCTGCAGGGCCTCTGGTGACTGCCACCCCTGCCTCCTTGAACTTCTCGCCTCCCTTGATCTTGAAGACACTGCTGTGACCTGGTTCTCCTCTCCTTCAGTGGCTTTGCCAAAAGTCTGTCCTTTTCTCACCTCTGGGTCCTTTCCTTCCAAGTCTGTCCTTTGCAGAGGCCAGACTCATGGGCGAGCCATGTCACTTCTCTGAGCCTCGGCTTTTCCTTCTGTAAAATGGGGCACAGAGACCTGGCTCCCACTCACCACGTGACCAGGGGCTTGCCCTCTGGGTGATTCAGCACTTTCCTCTTTATTAGTGGGGTGAGTAAGCCTCAGGGCTCTCCTCCAGCCGGGGCAATGATGCACTCGACACCATAAAATTCCACAGGCCTTGGGAAGGGCTGGCTGAGAGAGCCCACCTGAGCTGAAGTCTAACTCCTTTGTCATCAAGGTTGTAACCAGAAGATGCAGGCTTGCCTGGCCGCCCCACAGGAGGACCCACCATTTGAGTGAAGTATAACGTCTGCGGGTGCAGGAAGCTGGGAATGGGGAGATGCAGGTTGGAGGATACAACGTAGCAGCTCTGTAAGAGGAACGGTCTAGAACTCTAATGTACAACGTGAAGAGTGCAGGTAAAAGAACCACACTGCACATACATGGAACCCGCGCGAAATGAGATTTTGGCCTATCTTGTCACAAAAACAAAAACAAAATGAGTAACTATGTGAGCTGATGGGTATGTTAATTGCTTCACTGTAATAACCTTTTTACTATCTATGTGTATCCCATAACAGCATGTGATCTACCATTAAAAAAAAAAAAAAGAAGAAAGAGGCTGGGCATGGTGGCTCACACCTGTAATTCCAGCACTTTAGGAGGCTGAGGTGAGAGGACTGCCTGAGCCCAGAGATTCGAGATCAGCCTGGGCAATTTGGTGAGACATTGTCTCTACAATAAATCAAGAAAAATGAGCTGGGCGTGGTGCTGAACGCCTGTAGTTCCAGCTACTTGGAAGGCTGAGGCAGAAGGATCACCTGAGCCCAACAGGTTGAGGCTGGAGTGGCTGTGAGTGTGCCATGGCACTCCAGCCTGGGCGACTGAGTGAGATTCCAACAGGAAGTAAGGAAGGAAGGGAGGGAGGAAGGAAAGAAGGAAGGAAGGAAGAGAAAAAAGCCTGTCTGCGGATTCTTGGAGCCCTGGTGACCTTCAGCAACCCACATGGTGTCGGTGTGAGGACTTCGAGAGGAGGATAGGAAGGGCTGTGTGTAGCTCCTGTCCTCACCCCGCAGCTGCTGCCACTGACTATTGGGTGTAGGCAGCAAGTGGGCAGACTGTGAAAACTCCCCGCCCCTCCCCCACACCTGCTCCCCTCTACCCTGGACGGGCAGCCACCTCCTGGGGGTCCAGTCCCCCAACTCAGCTCTCCAGGGTCCAGATCACCTGGGCAGATTCGGAGCCCCACCTGGCAAACAGGCTCTCAGCAACCTTTACCTGCACCTCGCCAAGGGGGGCTGCAGTTCCTCCCTGCCTGTGGTCCTGGAGGATGCACCTCTACGTAAGGCCGCTCCCCAGCCCAACACACAACAGCGCCTACCCCTGCCTTCCGTGTACCAGACGCCGTGTACCGATTTCTGAAGGGGGTGGGGAGGGGGGATTTGAACTGTATTCGACTCTGCCCCCTGCCTGCCACCCTGGGAACTTCGTTTCCGCTTGCACACCATCTTGGAACCTGGAAGCGGGAAGCCACACTGCCCTTCGCAGCCTTGGGTTCCAGCCCCGCCCAGGAAGAATGGGGGGACGGCGTCCTCGACCCTGCCCTAGACTTAGTTCCAGAAGGGAGGGGAGAGTGACAGGCCAGGCAAGGAGGAGACTCCAGGCTCCGAGTTTTGAGTGGGATGGGGGGTGCTGGGCAGGTGGGGTTCAGAACCAGCTCCAGGACAGGTGAGCTTCCGGAAGGAGACGGGAGGGCGGGGCAAGGAGGGTGGGGGCGACCTCCGCCCGTCCCTCTTCCTGGGGGACTCTGGTGCGAATTTCTGGTCGCAGAGGGACGGGCCCCTGACCTGGAGCCGGGGTGGACCACGGGCGCTCTG